GGAGTAGTTCTCAAGATCGAAGCAAGGAAACAAGCAATAAACTTATGGTGTGGTAACGATTGATGTTAGACATCATTATGACTCTACTTTTGAGTAATTTTAAACTCACATAATTTATTTATCGATGCGTCTGCTACTGATAAAACCACAAATATTAAAATATTGAAATGTTTTTGTGGTTTGCTTCAATTTAAACAGAGAGATTTTTTACGGTTAAAGTGCTTTCTGCCGGGGTTGTCATGCTGCCTGTGGTTCTGTAAGGTTTTTTGCACTTTTTTCAGCTGTAAAACTATTGTTTGTAGAATTTTATGATTAAGTGGATGACTTGAAGAAGCAATTGTTTTTAGCCGCGAATTTATTAAGATCGTAACAAAAGTAGCGCCTACGACTACGTATACCGCGGCGGTGGCGTAAATTGAATTTTGTGATTCGTCGTTGGTATATAACCGAAGTTTAATATCCCTCTTCGTTTGACCTTTTTTCATCAGTTTACGCCAAGAGAGCCTGCACTTTTAACAAGCTTTTGAGGTAATGCTGTTTGAAGATCTGGACAAGCGTTTTGTTTTCGAACCTATGAAGTAAAACTAATTTCGATAGCTTTTGTTGTGTCTGCTTACAGTTAATTTTTTTTATCATTTTGTCCACCACCTCAAAATAATTGTCTTTTCAAAAATATTACGTGGGTTGTTTAGTGAGACTTGCTGTGCTCTAACTGAAGTCTTACACGATTATATCGGTAGAAATCTTCAAAAAGTACTTTTACGTTTGGAAAAGAAAGAAAAGTACTCTTAGAATTGCAAGAAACAATTAATTAGATCAATCACACTCGACTTCTATCAGTTTTAACAGTTTTTGCCGATAGAAGTATCGCATTAAGTAAAAGACACCTCATAAAGGAACTTTTTTAAACTTAGATGCAGTCCCTAACATCTTTGCTCCAGGAGAGGATTCGCTAAAATTTATCAAACTGAGCGAGTTGGAATTAGAGAGAAATAAGAGAACAGGGTATCCAACTACCAAATGTTTCCAAATACGTCAGAAATGCCTCAATTAGTGTTTTCTGTATGCTTTAGAAGCCTGTTTGGTTAATTTGGAGCTGCCCTTAAAACTATTCACCGTTTCGGTTGACTTTGGAAGAAGTTTCCCCGTGTCGAAATTTTTAGGTCGGTTTTTCATCTCATCCGAAACTGTCAGCTACCCCGATAGGTCCGGTGGAAAGTTCCGTCCTCTCATTAGAAAATTCTAGGAGACGTTTTGACTTTATACCGAAATTTTCAGGAGACCCAAGTTCGTAATATCGTGGCAATAAAATGCGAAAAACATAGCCTCCAAACATCGTAGGTATGTGGAAGGTATGTTAATAATAGTAGATTTACCTCCGAATATCGTGGACGAATGGAGCGGTTAATTTTCTATCCTTTCCGGAACTTTAGAAATTTTTAGGCAACATTTGCTCACTCAAACAACCCATCGGAGTGGGGTGCACTTATTTAGACCCAGTTTACACTGGTCCAGACAAATTTTTGAACGGATAAAAACTTGCACGAGTCCGCCTTTCGTTTACACTGTATCTGCAGAACCGTGCAAGGTTTTTAGCGGCAAACATTACTACAATCTGTAACAGAATTTGCATCCGTGTTCCGTGTAAACGGCCTGTTGCTGCACAGGTAAAAAAACACCGAGAAGAGAGTTGAAAATACGACGCGCAGCGGAGTATTTTTGACGAACTTCGAGGTGTTTCATCTGGTGATGAAACACTGTGTCGAATGTTTGATATTTCTTCTCAAACAAAATCATTTTTGAAGGAGAAATTAAGGATGCAAATACTAAGCAGTGTTTCATCCGATTTCCAAACACTCATTAAACATTAATTTCCTTTGTATTTTCTTAATGAATTATTAATGAGTTTGAGAAAGGCTTTTTCATGATCATAATTGATTATTTAAAAAGAGTGGTTGCCACTTATTTGATTGCAAATTTTAATAAGATTTGCCGATACTATTTTTCTTTCATGGATATGATATAAACCCGTGGAAGTGACAGGAAACTAGCTCTGCTGGGAGTCGGACACTGTAGTCTTTCCTGATGGAGAGACGCCGAACGCGCAAGTTGATATTGATAAAATATAATAAGCAGTAGCATCACTTTTTGCAGACCTTTTGCGCTGGAATTAAACAAAGTTAGATCTTGTTTAAATTACTAGATCTAATATTTACGATTAACAGCAATAAAAAGCCCAGAGCTACTTACCTAGGATTTTTTCCCACAGATTAATTCGAGAAAAAATTTCTTGTGTTGACCAGTCAAGAAGAACCAAAGAAAATGACATTGCTTCCGTGACAACAGGAATGTATGATATAGTAACAGCAGGTTGGTAATAGAATACCTGAATTTTGGCATTAAGTGCGTCTACTCAATTAGCTCAGTGTGACATCAAAGCGAAATACATGTTGACGATATATGAAGTCTATTTAATTAGTTTATTCCAAATTCCAATTCGACCAGGAATCAGGAAGACGAAGAACCACAATAGTGGATGTGCTCCCTCTAAATCATTATTTAATTATTTACTCATGTATTTATTATTTATTCACTCAAAGTTATTTTGAAGATTTAACATTAGACGATATCAGACTTGCCAGATTTAGAAGATTTCTGATAGGAATCGTAAGCAATGTGCCCTGCAATTAGCCTGTTCCAGGCTCCGAGATAGTGGTGAAAAGTCGTTCAGTAAATTCCCAAGTCGCGCGCGTCTTATTTTCGCTTTGCTCGTTTAATACGTCCCCACTATACTATCTGAGAGCCTGGCACAGGCTACCCTGCAATGTGCGCGTTCATCAGTGCAATAGCTACTAAATGAATGAGCCCACCAACTTGACAGCCAGCATCCTCTGGAGTGCTACATATTGTTAAAAGTGACTTGGGTTTAGTCAGGGGCACCCAACGACGGTTTTCTCCTAAATACATTGGAAAAACTTTTTAGGCTATCCAGAGTATTTTAAGATATCTAGAAATGCACTCTTTTCGGCGCTATAAAATTTGTATGTACGTGTTCGGTCATCCTAGTGGAACTTTCGTCCTTTGGAAATGACAAGGGCTTGAGAATTTTTTGTCCCAAAAATTTGGGTGAAATTTGAGATACAACGAAAATTAGACATTCCCGCTTAATTTTTAACGCCATCCCATTTTTGAATCGGAAAATTTTAGGTTCCCTTTTCTGTATTGAAAAAATGGCCTTACTTGGGAAGACAAATGTTAAAATTAAGCTTGAGAAAATCGTAAGGAATTTATACGATATGCCTCGAAAATGGTACATGAACGGAACGGTCATGTGGAAATTTTTAGCCGTCGTCCGGTTATAGAAAATTGTAGGCAATATTTGCTTCTCCGAACAGATATTGTACCGGAAAAGAGTCGTTGGGTGTTCCCGCTTAGTTTACGCCGTAGGAAAATTCGCCTTCCCATCTAAAACTAGACACATGAAAATATATAATAATATATAGATTTAGCCAGGGCTAAAAGCGAAGCTCCCATTAATAAATTTAGAATTTAAATCAAACAATAAACTTGTAATCCACAAATCAGTTAACTTTAAGGGAAAGCTAAGGCTAAGTGATTTTAGAATGAAAAAAAAATCTTACATCGAATTGATAGCCGTATATATACACCCAAAAAATAGCAAACATCTTCGATCACATTTTAGAGCCATAATGGCTCTTGATCACAGTAGATTAGGCCTGGAAAACGAAGTTTTGGAAAACAAATCAGGCCGAATTTTTTGCTTTCGACAAGTTTACTTAACAAAAACTTGCCAACAACTCTGGGAGCGTGTAAACCAACATTTCATACTTTTTACACATCACATCTGAAACAGTGATATGAGGCGTTGTTTTTATCATATAGACCTCAGACAAAATGCAGTATTTCACAATTTTTCAAGACAAATTGCACTCATTCAATATTCAGAACCGTACGAAGCACTCGTGGGCTTTTAGCAAAACCGTTCAAATAATTTCCAAAATCATATATACGGCCAGCCGGTTCTCACTTTTGACAAGCGCCAAATTTTCAGTGAACATTAAACGAGTTACGCTTCAACGTAATAAAGAATTTATTGTGTTTATTTTTTTTATTAAATGGTTTTATAACGATGTGCAATCTTAAAAAGCGTTTGATACGAGCAGCATTTTGAGTACTCCTGCAAGCGTTGTTTATGAACGACTGAAAACAAACTGCAAAGCGATTAAAATTGTAAGAGACTACTAACAATCAATAAAAGAAATGTAATTCGGTGAAACATTTACAGAGATAACAATTTTCATTCACGAAGACAAGTATTAAAGCGTCTCTAAAAACTGAGTCTTTAAGCTTAAGCTTAAAGCTTTTAGCCGGCTTCCTGTTGTTTACTGTTTTCAAAGATGAACTCGCGGCAAGAAAACCGCTCAAAGCTTTCTTTCTACAGCCAAAATTATAACTAAATACTCTTCGGAAAGTTTTTTCGTTCTATATGCGGAGAGAAAATATCGACTAAAGGCTTTTTAAAGTTCTGTAAGCTTATATATACTAGATCAGATCATTGTCTCAGATCTTAACACAAACGTGCATAAATTAGCCCGATAAACTGCGCTCGACTTCATGAAATTAGATATAAAAAACAAACATACACTGTATACAATAATTACTTAGGCTTACCATTCGAGATGCAGCTCTTGAAAGCTATAAAGTAAGGCCAGAATCGCTTGAGGGACTTTTCAATCCGCATCCAGCAAGGTAAAAACGAAAGCGATGCATCCGAAATCGGATTTCCAACTTTGGCAACCGGCGCATTTCCCGACCAAAAATTCAATAAACAAACCAGCCATGAATCAAAGAAGACTGTTGATAGCAGCCGTATTTCATTTTAAGCATCCAGTGGAAAAAGACAGTAAAAGACATCACAAGTTGACAAAATACTCTGTCAGCTTCAGCTGTCAAACTGAAAGTAAACAAGGTTCAAGATG